CACTAATGCTTGTGATACCTGGATTCTGTCCTCGCAGCTACCGAGAATGCAACTACTGATCTCTTTGTGTTTATTGGGATTTAACTTCGAGTAACTTGATATGCTTTGAATGTTTCTGTGTCCGGATATCTGTAAATGAAACAAAAACTAAATTAATTTACGAAGCCCACGACTTAAAATCTAAAACTTCTTCGTGAGAAAACATAATAAAAGCACATACAAAATAAAGTGTCACAATCGTACACATAGCACACATGACAAGAATTTTTTTTCATGTTTTGGGACTTCATGATTGGACATTTTTAAGTTCTTGAATATGGCACTGAATATTATCTTCGTCCCATGGGTTTTCGTTCTATTAAGAATGCATTATGACGTCACGATTCCTATTGAAAAAGCATGCATAGTACGTAAACATATGATCTTACCATATATATTTGTCAAATTGGACTTATGGATTAGTCCAAAAAGATGAACGAGAAATTAGGATGGATAACAATTAAACTCAGGTTTCAGGGACGAGACCACCTCAGAGATTGACCCCCTATCCCCCTCCAATATATTCTTCCACTTTGTGATGCTCTCTTATAAGGTTTTTTTTTTCTCTACGTGTGGTGTAAGATTTTCCGGGAAAATTAGTCTATTTTTGTTTGTTTCAAGAGAATACAGTAATGGAGTATTACATTCATAAAAAAAGAATTATGCAGTTTGTGTAGTGTACATGATCGATTTTAATTTCCATTTTCAAAAACATCATCTATTTTTGTGATGTCAGTGATGAATTTGTGGTGTGTAATGGCAGGTCATCCACAAACACCTAGACCACTTTGTCCTGTGAGAATCAAAATATTTTATGGGTGCCATTGTATCTTTATTTTACCACAGGGTTGCAATTGGTTGTTAATGCCATTATCCAACCACACATGATAGCTTGTTAAAATAAATTGCATAAAGGGCCAACCCGTAATGAAATAATGATAATTTGAAATGCCCACGAATTATATCCATGATATCTTCTGCTACATATAAATAAAAAAAGTATTTACATCTGTGTAATTTTACATGTTTTATCATGCTCTTTGCAGGCCCATTCATATAGCACAATACATTATTTTTCTTTATAATAATTGGAATAAATTTATAACCTGCTTAATATGATTATGCTCAACTCCTGCATCATCCAGCTTCTGGAGCATAAAACGTCGTGCAGAATGATTAGTTAGATGCCTTTCTGCTCCCTCGTCTTGATCATCATTTTCATCCCTGTTTCCAACTTCTTTTATAATCCCCAGTATTACAAACAGAAATCATCATTTTAGGTCGCATGGTTTTGACTTATAAATTTTATTTTCAATAAAGATTTTGATTTGCAACGGAAACAAACTATATTTCACAACTCTTTTTGGTTGGTTATTTATCAAATTGTTTAGTTGATTTTGAAAGTTTAGAAACTTAACAAGACTTGTTTATTAACTAGCTCAATTTGATAAATTTGTTGTACATATTAATATTGTTTATACATGTACATGGTGTGATAGTACCAGTTTTGTATCATTTTGATTCTGTAGAATGAGAATGTATCACTATGAGTCAGCTAGCGATGCGTAGTGACGAGAATCATTCAAATGACGAGACATGATACATTAGTTGTACCATCACATCTTTATTTGATTTGTGCAATGCCATCTTGTTAATTCATGAGGTAAATTGTTTTGTATGTATGAGAAATTGCTCATTGTTGAAGGCCTCATGGAGACTTTATGGTAAAGAGCAACAACAAAAGTGTTGTTATGAAATAATAATAAATTGCTTTGTTTTCCATGTATTAATTTTGATTTTGTTTGATGAAGACATTTACTCCATATTCATTCATTTTTATGAGTTTTTGGTAGAGTTATACAATGTACTGAGGGATAAAAGAAAGAATGTACATGTATATTATTTTCACAATCTTCAGAAAATACATTATTTCATGATTTATATTGATTCTTACTTTGTTTTGGGTGAATTATTTCAGTTCTCTAATCAATTAGTTAAATTATTGAATTTTAGGCTAAGCCTTGAAAGAATCTGTTTCTTTAATCATTTATAACTAAAACAAAATTAAAATTTTACATCACCCAAGCAATTGTGAAAAAAATGTTCTCCTCACTAGTGAAATAAATGATGTAATTGGATTTATATTTAACCTTGTTAGTACAACTGGTAGTACACTTATCTATCGATGAGTGATCCAGGTTCGAATCCTGGGCAAGGTAAATTAGCTGATGGCCAATTACAATATGTAAATTTCAAATTACCTTTTATAAACATGATATTATAGTTTTTGTTTGTTTGTGTTACTGATGAAAAGTTATAACTGAAGTTTTGTATTTGATTTTAAATTTTACTTTGCTCAAGACCAAGGACCATACTTTAAATCTATTGACAACTAGTTAGTAAAACCAGCAGACTTGAAAATTAAGAAAAAAAGAGCAAAATTAATGTGTTAAAGGCAATACAAAATAAATTTCTTCATTCTCATCTGATCTTTTTTTAAAAATTTGAACTGGAGTGAAAAATGCTGTAAAATTTAAAGTTATTCACCAAAAATTGGCAAAACCCCAAAAGCATTTTTTTAGGTGTGCAGATAGGGTTGAGAAACTAGGATTTTTGAACTTGACCACAAATTTCATTTTAATAAACTACAAATTTAAACTCTTCCATCCAGTGACTCCCGTCCAACATTTTATGAAGGTCCAAGATAAGAAACTGAAAATGAATTTCTTGTAACCTTTTCTACAACTTGAAAAAAAATCTTCTACACACTTGACAGTTGAATTTTCTCATTACAATGCAATCGGCAAGCCTCGTGTATCTAATGAGAAATTTCAAATGTCTCGGGTAGAAATATTGTTTCATATTAGAGTTGGAGAAAGAAAAGTATTGCCACCTACAACTTGTATTTGTGTATTGATTATTTTGTACCTGATTTTTCTGCCATTATCTTCATGAAATTGCCCAATTTATTTACACCCACTATCTGACTTTTGTACCAACGTATGGACTTGTTTGGGTTTGTATTCATTTGAATGTAGAATGGATTCTCATCTTTGGAGAAATTTGAAGGACGCTTGGATTTGTACAACTTGTAGGCCTCAACGGGACATCTTGACTGGTCATTTAAATTGGCCCAAGCCCTCTGAGGTATTTCCCTTTTATTTTTCACATCTGTTCCTGTCCTTGTTTTTGTGTTTCTCTCATTCATTTGTAAATATTCATTGTCAAGGTGATCTTTATAAAGTTTTACATCCCCCCACCTCATCTGTTAGTGTTCTGTTACACCACGAAGCCCGAAGTAAACAGTATTACAGAACCAAACTGTATGAAGCAATGCAGTCGGATTGGATAATCCCAGCTGTCCACTGCTGAACAAGGCATCAATATCTGCATCAGTTAATACATCTGCCTTGCCAGATCCATTTCCCTTACCCATTTTTTTCAAGTCTACATGTTGAGCTGTTATTGCATCTCTAGTCTTACAAAACTCAATACTCTTTGTGAGATCATGTCCATAATCATGGCGCTTTATGAATCTGTTGGAACTACAGAACTGGCCTTTTAATGTTGCTGGTTCATAGTTTTCTCCATCACTTTCCTAGCTGATATGAAAAATAGGCTGAGTAAGTTGTTCAGTTATTTTGCTGGAATGTTATGTATTTCTCTTTTTTCATTTTTTTTCTCCAAGAACTGCATAAGTGTGCGAAGATCTGATGTAGTTTTTTTCACTGTACCCCTATTTTCTTGATTTGCTATAAAATTATCAACTTCTTCTTCATCAATGGGGACAAACTGTCTGATATATTTTGTGGTATCTTTTCTTGCCCTGGGTATTTCAGATTGATGTGTTTGTGGAGGGTTTGGTTTGAAACTGTAGGCATGTCAGAATCATCGGAGTCATACATTTGAGATTGAAAAAGTTGCAAAAGTTCTTCTGTTACTGTAGGCGGAGAGGAAGAAGTTACTGGTTCTTTTGGTACCTCAGGATCAGTTAGAAAGTTGAACCTGTATCTGGCTTCTGTGATAATTTCCCCATCATTTAGTTTAATTTCCCATAACGGGAAACCAAAGTTTCCATTTTCCGCTAATATAACACCTTCTTCACCCGAGAGAAGTCTTACTCTTTTTCCCCTTTCCGGAACTTCGTTCAGGGACATCTTTTTATTATTTAATTATTGAGCAGACGATGATCTCGCGATTTTGTTTACACGTAACCAAGGAGTTTTACGAGTATAAAGTAGGCTAAATCCGATAAGTTCGAAGGCAAAATGTTCTGTTCCGGGAAGTCCCTCCAAACAAGGCGCACCAATATTTCATGCAGTTGGAGAAAAATTAGTCCCGGCAGAAATATTGACCAATCAGCTGCCGAGAACAGTTTTTTCACTAGTGAGGAGAACATTTTTTTCACAATCGGTCGGGAAAGGTGAAAATGGTAAAAAAATTAAGAGAAATTGTGATTTATATTGTTGTTCCTAAATCATAAAACCAAATTTCGATCTTCTTTCTTCTATATAATAATGTATGTTTGGTATGGCAATATTTCGCAACTTTTGACAATGAATTTCCTAAATGACTCAATGATTGCAGTTGACAGAGATTTTTATTCAAATGTTTTGCATGAAAGTGCACTGCTTTACTTTCTGATCTGATCTGCCTTAATAGAGGTATCGACATGCTAAATAGCTTCGAATCTCTTATCACATGTCTGATTTTTACAAATACATATACAGTTGATTTGTTTGGGGGTAGGGGTTAAAGTTTTATTATTTTCCTTTTTGGAGTGGAAGGGTTAAAATGAAAATGTTTTTATTGTTTGTGCAATAGTGCAAATGTCTATAACTATTTATGGTTTATTTTCAATATATATTATTTTGTTTGTATAGCTTTGTGTGGTTTATTGATAATTTAACTGTTTAATAATCTTATGCGACATTCAAAGAAGAAAAAAAAACGAAAGATATGTTTGCTGTTCAACACTTTATTTAAACATGACACGTTATTTTATCAATCTGCAGCATTACGATGCTATGGTACATTTAACACCGAACTGATTCGAAAGTTCTATTCCATTGTATTTGCCACCAAGAACACGCTAAAACAAAATTAGATCAATATTAGCATTTGCAATATAAAACACATTATCAAAAATATATTAACATATATAAATACAGGTCTTAATATACTAAGTACATATATTGGAGAAATGGAGTAAAAGGTTAACGAAGTCCCAGGAAGCAGCCATACACTAATAAAACCAAACTGACATCTTCAGGTCAACTTATGTTTTTATTAAAGGACAAACATGCGTACTATACATGTATGTAAAATTCTGACTCTACCCAAGTTTAAACTTGTTGTTAATCAATTTGAAAAGAAATACCGAAGATCATACATTTCTGTCAACTACAATTAGTCAATGTATAACTAAGAAAACATAGAAAAGAAAACAAAAAACCGAGTAAGTATTTGTGAGTGCTTCCACCGTAATTTACAACAACAAAAAAAGTTACAAGAGTAAAAACCAGGATCATGACAAAAGTGTTTATAATGACATCTTATCGATATTAGACAGATGGGTCATATGACAGTGTGAATCTATCTCCAATAATTTAATGTTGCTATGTAGGGTTTTCGGGGGACTGTTTTTGCTTTTCGGCGGTTTGTTTTTTCTTTCTTTTTAATGAACTCAGAATAACGTCATGATGCTGTAGAAAGGGAACACGAAGCCAAAGAAAAAGGACAAAAGCTTCGAGGTGCTTTTTATTATTAAGTTTAAGATAAAACACTGACATATGGGATATTTAGGAACTGCAAAAGGCATATGGGTACGAAATTTCATTGGCAATGCACTTTACAACAATTTGGGAAAATCTGTCATAACTGGAATCTTTAAAACACAAGTAATCTTGTCCATAGGTTTTTCTTGTTAACGACCACAATCTATCAGGATCTGCTTACCCTTCCGGAGCACCTGAGATCACCCCCAGTTTTTGGTGGGGTTCGTGTTGCTTAGACTTTAGTTTTCTATGTTGTGTCATCTGTACTATTATTTGTCTGTTTGTCTTTTTATTTTTGGCCATGGCGTTGTCAGTTTGTTTTCGATCTATGAGTTTGAATGTCCCTCTGGTATCTTTCGTCCCTCTTCTATTAGAGCAACTATTTGGAGAAAGAATTCCACTCACAAAAAGGACTGATCTTTTTTAAGTTTTCACATTGTAAATATATGTCAATATTTTATCACCTTATTCGAAATTATAGGTATGTGTTTATAATATTTTCTATTTAACCTGAAAAGATAGCAATTTAACCTTGACGTAACTTGTGTGGCCCTGTTACATATGATAGTATTATACATGTTTGATATTCCAGTGCATACGAAACGTGTTTCTTGCAAAAATTTCAAAAGGTTTGGAAAGCAAATGCATAGAAAATTAAAAGAATTCTATGCAACTGTCATACAAGTGAGAGGTTTAGCTAGCTATATTAATAACCAGGTTTGATCCACCATTTTCAACATAATGAAATGCCTGTACCAGGGAACATGACAGTTGTTTTCTATTCGTTTGGTGTGTTTGAGCTTTAGATTTTGCCATTTGATAAGGGACGTTCCGTTTTGAATTTCCCTTGGAGTTCGGTATTTTTGTTATTTAACTTTTGAGACAAAACATAACGGGCATAAAAAGAACAGACAAAAAGTTTATAGTCAACTCTGCGCAAGGGCGTTTAAAAAAAAGACAATACAAATTTATAACCTCTTTTTTGGATTTGTCTTCATCAGGAACGCTAAAAGCCAATCTTAGTTTAAGTTCAATAACACCATTTTATAACTGAAAATAAACCAGTTTAACTTTATTATGTAAATCGTACCAGTAATGTCGTATCAATAGTCATCGGGGACTAATCAGCGGCAATCGATTTAGTGTTATATATATATATAAGTATCGTGCAAATGTCAGTTTTCATGACATGTTTCTGGAATAATATATTTTGAATTACAATAATAAAATCCTAATGTTGCCGTTATTTCAAGAAATGGTTTCAAATCAAAATAAACTTTTAACAGGTCTGCCTTCTTCAATGATTTTTAATACAAATGACTCTTTGTGCATTTGCCCATGCTTTCATCCTTATTATATATCCTGATTAAAACATACCGAGCAAGAATGATGACCGTTGTAACCTTTCTGCATCACGTGTGAAGTAATAATATTTGCACCCCTACTTGTTTTCTGACCAACATCACTAACATATGGAGAATCGAACTGGACAGTCAAGTTGTTGTATGAAACTGAAACAAAATCATACTATGTTCATTTATCATTTATCCTAAGAAGCATAAAACTGAAGAAAAAAAAACTGATCATAGTGCAAGTGTTCAACGTATTACTCCAATTTTTCTTTTTTGATTTATTTTTTTGTGGGTACAGAAGTATCTCTTCTGGAACTTATTTGAATCATATCCATATGGCAAAATAATTAATTATTTAGAATACGGTTTTGCACAAGGAAAGAAATGAAACACACAGATGCATTACATACCATGATGTAGTTAAAACGACGGTTAAAATGCTTTCTGTCCTAGCAAATCTCGAGTTTCTTTGGAAATGTAATACACCATTCCGCCTAACAAGAAACAATCTTAATCAGATGTTCAAAGGCATATGCTGTATTTTGTTATTAAGTGAACAGGTATTTCATAAGTCAAGCCTTTTGGTTGATTGGAAAACACCTTTAAGTGTTTGTTGTTCGTGTGCTTACGAACTATTTACTCCATTTATAGGGTAACAATTTAAACCCGGTTGTGGTTGTAAAATGCAATTTATGTCGTAAATGTTTTTAAACGTTATTTCATGGAAATTCACGGCAAAACCCCGTCCGCCTTAACTTACAAATTTATTATGAAAAAGATTTGGCGCACAATGTAATGTGACGAAGGTCGTTAATCTACTTACCTTCGTGGTCTTTTCTTATGTTATTAGAGGGAATTGCCGGTCCACACTCAAGGTCGCCCATCAGTATGACCTTTTCTTGCTGTTCAAAGTTTGACAATATGCACTTAGCTTGTGAGAGGTTCTCTAAAGCCCAAGATGAGGAAAACAGTTGCTTTGTTTCAGCTATTCGAAGATAAATATTACACATAACAATTTATTATGCCTACTTTGGTGCTTTTGTCAAGTTTTGTGTTATAGAACATTGATTGATGAATTAGTCACACTTATATTATGTATACCTTTGAGTAAATAGGTGCAATACAATTGATTGTCGAATCAAACTGACAATATTCAATGGTTACAAATTATTCACTAAATGCCTTTGAATTCAAGAGGATCTGGATGGGGGTTCTTCATTTCGGTATTCTTTAATTGTTATGGTTTCTATCCATCCTTTTTTTTTAACTTGATTCTGCAATTTTTTACTTACATTCTCTTTTCTGTACACCCTATCTAGACCCTCGTACTAGATATACATGTTATATCGATAGACAATTGACATAAGAGACGTAACAGTCCTAAAACATATTTTTTAAATTTTTACAGGTAATATACATTAATATTTAAGACATAGATATCTCAAGGTTATTTGTTTGCTGTCTCGTTAAAAGCTTTTACTCATTACAAGTGTGTCAGAAAATAAATGTAGACATTCTTACGTTCATAATAAGCATCACTCAAAGCGGTTTGCATTTTTGTACAAGCAATAGTACGTCCAGCAATCTTCAATGAAATAAAACAATAAACTATCAGAACATAATAATAATATACAAAGTCCTGGATACTGGATGACGAGAAAGGGGGCAACTCTGAAACAAGGACACGTCATTTTGAATTGCAATCTCTCATCTTACATACATACCCACACAAACTTATTCTTCCATGCACTCTTCTCTTGCAAAATGAATTATAATCTCCGAAAGATTTTAAGGTAATTATTTGTCATCTTTTTGTTTGAAAATTTACATTTATATTGTTTGAAACTCAGAAGTATGTTCCATTATTTATGTACTCATAAGTATATTCCATTGTTTTTGTACTCAGAAGTATGTTCCATTATTTATGTACTCAGAAATATGTTCCATTGTTTATCTACTCAGAAGTATGTTCTATTGTTTATCTACTCAGAAGTATATTCCATTATTTATGTACTCAGAAGTATGTTCCATTGTTTATGTAATCACAATAATAATCAATGACAGCTATAATATTTAGAATATCTTTGGTATCAGCAATTTTTCAACTACTTCAATGCTAAATCAAATGTTGTATGAAGTATAAATTCCTTATTGAATAACAAAATCTAAAGATACATGTACCAGGCTTACAAATTTGTTATACCAGCTTATAAATTTGTTATACCAGACGCGGATTAAGTCTACAGTTGCAAACCAATAAAATAAGGTGGACGATCATTGAAATAAAAAATTTGAAACAATGGTGCCAAATCTGGTTAAGGAAGGAAAACCTTTGTTTTTCAAACGATTTTATCTTTTATGATCTGCAAATTTAAAGAGAATGACTGCATTAATGATAAACTTTGTTCTCACAGCTGTAATGAAACAAATGCCAGCAATTAAACAGACGTCAATGGGTATAAAGTGAATATAGAATCTTACATTTGCACCAGTTGATTGTCGAATTAACCAATCGAGATAGTTAAACTATCGATAACTAAAGTCAGAACCTCGGCGAGAACTTTAAATTCGATAATTTTACTATCGAGATTGGATAAATCTGGAAATTCACAAGCAACTTTGTAAGAATCATTTCTCTAATGATCATCAAATAACTTTTCAGTTTTGATAAACGAAAATCCCCTTCGCGTGCCTTCCACATTCCTGATTTCTATGTCAAACAAATATAAAGTGTTTATTTCTCTAACAACTGTTATCACATTTCGATTTATTTAGAGAGCTGATAAAGGTTATGAACTTTTAACTCAGGCAATCACCTACAGAGAGCATCCTATACCACAGGTAAATTATTTTTTTTAAACAATCGGTCCAGAAAGGATAAAATTGCCAAAGAATTAGAAAAAAAATGGTTATAATGAAGATTGCAATGTCCTTAATAGACCGTTGTGCAGTTTGAACCCAATAATAGTTGTTTCAGTATAATGGATTAGAAAGCTAGTCAATAATTAAAAGCAGAAATGCTATAAAGTGTGCTACATACTTCAACAATTAATTTTCCTTGTCTGTTGGCCTGTTTATCGCTTACAAAGAATGTCGATTCTGCTTTTGTAATTGGATATTTACTAAGAATCATATTACCAGCAACATTAACTTGCTGTTTTTTAACACATGATGTCACATGTATTGCTCCTACAGCTCCCGCACAAGTAATGCATTCTTGTTTCAGGTTTTTCCAAGCATTGCATTTATTTTCTTTGTCACATTCTATAATTCCTTTAATGTCTGTTATTCCAGCGCATTGTACCATGCATACCAAAAGCTTCATTCTTAGAAAAAATGGACAAGGAGATGAATTCGCAGTTAAGAAGTTATTTGTCGTTCCATCGTGAATGGAGCTGTAAACGTAAGGATATTTATGCTTAACGTTGTTAAATATAGTCGATATATCATTTTGTAAAAACACCTGAAAGAACACAAAGGAAGCATAGATAACTATCAAACCAATCAATAAAATCTTTGTAAAAGTATATGTTTGTATATAAAAGTCTTAACATTTGGTCAAAGATACTGATTTTAGATAGTAATATACGAACAAGATGTTATAAATTCGTATCGACAAATATTTCGCCTCAACAAATAGCCTTCTTCAGTGTCAATTTTTTTTATCAAATGCAGCAAATAGCAGTTTATTTGTAAAATTAGCTCACTCGTATACGTAAATTTAAACAAGCAGTTTTAATCAGAATTCTTGCACCTCATAAAACAAAAAACCAAAAAACGTGGCTGCGTACTTATGCATCCCTGTCCAAAAGTAGTACATTTAGATATTTGTAAAAATTGATGCAACACCTGTATCAAAGAACACTGCTAATAATTCTTCCTGTTGAAGCTGTATATATGAATTCCATCTAGTTCTTTTATCAAGAAACTTTCCCAAACCTCGCTGGGGTTAATTCGGGAAATGATTTGTTCAATAACTAAGACTTTCATGTGGTTTAGGTCACCGAGTTTGCAGTTCGACTGTCTGAAGTTTTGGCTATCTGGGATAACTGGTTTCTTAGTGATATCACTCCTCTAGCCATTGAGGCGTTTATCAAATGATATGGTTGCTCTGAATCACCAACATATTGGAGGTCACAAATTAAACATTCTAGAATGTAACTCACATTCTTACTTTTGCAGGTCATGTTGCAAGATACCGTATAGCTTTTTTTGGTTTCCTTGCTGATGATACTGATGCATCTACAGGAAACAGTTGCAGAGTTTGTCACAACACTACCGGCATTATCCAAAAGTAATGCTCGGCATAGGCACTTTACCCCGTACCAAAGTATTCCTCAGACTATTTGGTTGCCTAAAGGCTATCATGGGAGGCACGGGTAAGATCTTGCATAGTGTGGTATCCTTTTAAATTATTTGATTTCATTTTTTTTAATACGAGAAATGAACAAAATGCAAAACGATAAAACTACGAAAACAATCCTACAAGCCTAAAAGTAAAATGTTTTATCAGTGATTGATAAGAGCCTAAAAGAGAGACGAAAATACCAACGGGATATTCAGACTTATAAGTCGAAAGCGAACTAGCAATGCCATTAATAAACAAAAACTATTGATTTTTATTGATCGATAAGACTTGTTATAAAGAAATTTGCTAAGTTCAAAATTTACCGTAAATAAGATGATAAACTGTCGATGAATTATGAATGTAATTTAATAAATTTAAAGTTAAGATTTACTATCAGAATAAATTTTTCTTTTCTTGATCACTTGGTTCGGGCTTAAAATAGAAATAATAATAATGTCATACTTATTTATTTACCTCGTGGCCTGGAAAGAACGTATATAGTCCAAAACTGTGTGTTATAGCTAGAGACTTAAATACATAGAATGCATAAAAAACTAGATGTGTTGGAACTACATGAATTGACCCACTCACAAAAAAGCTTGAATCCATTTGAAGGCGCGGAAATTTGAGAATGAAGACCGCATAACTGTTATTTTCATGAAAATTGCAAATTCCAAACTGCAAAATTCAGTAGAGCAGTGCCAATAAAGGCAACAGTAGTATACCGCTGTTCAATAGTCATAAATCGATTAAGCGAAAACAAATCTGGGTCACAAACCAAAACCGAAGGAAACACATCAACTATAATAGGAAAACAACGGAACAACAGAAACACTGAACTGCAACTAAAACAAACGCCAAGATATATAGAAACGGACTATTTCATAACAACTGCCATATTCCTGGCTTGGTACAGGACATTTTAAGAAAAAATGGTGGGTTGAACCTGGTTTTATGGCTAACCAAACATCCCGCTTATATGGCAATGTTAAAAATATTGCAAAAATGACAGCATAACGTGACAGGAATACAATACAAATAAACGCAAGGACACTCAGGACAGAGAAACACATAGATAAATAATATAATAGTACATTACAACATGTAAACCATAGGACACCTCCCATGAATCCACGACAGCACACCAGGACACCACAAACGAATTATAAACTGTGCGTCACACGAATGTATCAACGCCACAAATAGTGTCGTGTTTTTGTGACGTTTATATTATCACGGGTAAATTTCTAAAAATAGAATAGATTTGTTTTATTGTAGACACGTACACGAATATAAGATTGAGTTTGTAATGGTGTTATTTTATGTTTTTTCTAACCATGACAAGAATATTAAAATGGAATTGTGTTTGTAATGGTGTTATTATTTGTATTTTCTAACCATGTCGGTTTTTATTCTAAATCAAAACTGTGTATAAACAAACGTTCCTGAAAAAACGTGAGATCAATCTGTAACCCATCATAGTCGACTCAAATACTAAAAATCAGCTCAATATGTGAAGTCGTTTATAAAAAAGTCCGTACAATTGTTATTTTCACGAAATGTTCCATGTCTAAAGCATGTAATTTCAATTTCGACAAAAATCAGCGGCGCGGAACCAAACGTAAACTCAATCTGTAACTCACATACAAAAAAGCAGCTCAATATGTGAAGTCGTTTAGAAAATAGTTTGTTTATATAAAAAAGGAAGATTAGGTATGATTGCTTATGAGACAACTCTTCATAAGAGACCAAATGACATATAAATTAAAACACATAGGTCATCGTACGGCCTTCAGTAATGAACATAACCTATACCGCATATTTAGCTTTAACTGTTATTTTCATGAAATTCTCAAATTCCAAAGCCCGTAATTTTGGCAAAAAGAAAAAAAGAATTAAAGTAAGGTCGATCTAACACTCATCATAGAAGACTTGCATACTAAAACCCAGCTCAATATATATGAAGGCGTTTAGAAAAAAAAGTCTGTATAACTGTTATTTTCACAAAATCTTCAAAGTTCAAAGCCCGTTTTTTCGGCAAAAATCAGCAGAGCGGAACTTAACATTATCTCTATCTTTAACTCACCATAATAGACTCACATACTAAAAATCAGCTCAATATGTATAACCGGGGCCATAGAAAAAACAAGATTGCATCGTCAATCTCAGTGGGCGATGTGTTGGCAACCCCTTGTTTCCCGTATAACACATAGTCGGGCAATTGTTCATGATCTTTAAGCTTGTCATTGCCGAAAGCAGCCAACTTTAATACATCAGACGGTTATTGAAATGCATATTTGTCTAACCACAATATATTGATCATGAAATGTACGAGTCAAAAGTTCACACTTGAGCTATTCAAAATAATCAGCACATAATTAGCTCATCATGAATACCAGGATTTAAATTTTGTACGCCAGACGCGGGTTTCTTCTACAAAAGACTCATCAGCGACGCTCTAGTCGAAAAAAAATTTAAAGACCAAATAAAGTACGAAGGTGAAGAGCATTGAGGTCCCAAAAATTTCGAAAAGTTTTGCCAAATACAGCTAAGGTAGTCTATTCCTGGGGTAGAAAATGCGGAGTATTTCGAAAAATTAAAGTTTAATTAACGGTTGATTTATAATTATGACCATATCTAGGATAATTCATGTCAACATAGAAATGCTGACTACTTTCCTGGTGATGAAGTAGATATTGTACTCTCCAAGCAGTTGAGATTTAACGAAACCGGTCCCCAAACTGCTCAGGTCTTAAAGTATAGAACCCTAATCCGGGCCCGGTCAGAAAGAACGTGCAAAACAGTAGTACATATTTTAAACAAAATAGGTCCTACGCATAGCTGTATCTTTGCCAATAGGTGAAATATTTGGGTAGTTTTGGTATCAAATGAAAGCTTGGGGACTTTGGATCACTGTAGACTCCTTGTTGAAAGTTTCTTTTGAATAATAAAAAAAAGTATATAAAACTATAATAGGAGGGCACGTTTTTCCTGTTGTTCAGATCAGAAGTACCTTTTTTTTGTACTACCAAACTTCCGGGAACCAGTTCGCTCTAATATGCAATTAAACATATGTAGAATTTTTCAGCACAAGTTAGGATAAGCTATAGTTTTGACATGAAATGACTATCACTTTTTTGAACTTAAGACAAAGTAGTCATTAATGCTTGAAATTGCAGAATTTAACATAGAAATCAATGGGGCTATGACTTTGTGGTGTTATTCCTATTACTGAAAGGCATGTGAAATTCCAATCTTATAAACCATACCCATTACATTGGAAATTGATCACATTTGTTGGTAGTAATCATGTTACATTAATTATTTTGTGTATCAATTATTTGGGTGTCAAATTACAGCCCTCAAATTGCTACAATAGGGTATTTCAGCCTTTTTTGGTCAGTTAGCATGCATTCAATTAAGACTTTACCTGCAGTATCTAAGACTGAAACCAATAATACATGTATATTAGTACTGGTTTATAGTATAAATATAGCTTTTGGTCAAATTATCTATTGAGTTTTCATGTTTTATTGGGTTTGCTAGTTGATCATTTATTTCAAAGGAAATTGGTGTATTCTTATAAAAGAATTCCAAAATCTCACTTAAAATGCAGTTTATAACCAGTTTAGCAAGTTGTCGAGCCGGGATATACATAAATTGCTCTTGTTGATCCATGTTTTTACATAAAAGTATGGTTTGTACCGAATCGCTCTCGTTTTTCAACATATAGAAAAAGGGGGACAAAATTATCAATTATATTCTATGTTTGGACCACTATATTAATATTTATATTCAATAAACAATATCTGATAAAAATAAGACATGTAGGTAAAAACATTGTTATTTGAGTAGATATTAAAAAATAAGAACTGGTAAAAATTGAAAAAGTCTCGTTTTGGTCACTTTTATTATCCATATGGATTTTTCTTTGTATAAATAAAGGCAACAGTAGTATATCGCTGTTCAATACTCATAAATCGATTCAGCGAAATCAAATCCGGGTTACAAACTGAAACCGAGGGAAACACATCAACTATAAGAGGAAAACAACGGAACAACAGAAACACTGAACTGCAACAAAAACAAACGCCAAAATACATAGAAACGGACTATTTGATAACAACTGCCATATTCCTGACTTAGAAAAGGACATTTTAAGAACACATGCTAGGTTGAAACTGGTTTTATGTCTAGCCAAAACTCCCGCTTTCATGGCAATGTTAAAAATACCGCTAAAATGGCAACATTACGAGACAGGAATACAGTACAAATAAAAGCAAAAACTCTCAGGACAGATAATTACATAAATAAATAATATAATAATACATTACATGTAAACAACAGAATATCAATGGACACATCCAATGAATTTACGACAGTACACCAGTACACCACAAACGAAGTATAAACTGCGCGTCTCAAAAGAGGGGTGAAAGATACCAGAGGGATATTCAAACTCATAAATCAAAATAAACTGACAACGCCATGGCTAAAAAAGAAAAAGACAAACAGACAAACAATAGTACACAAAACACAACATAGAAAACTAAAGACTAAGCAACACGAACCCCACCAAAAACTGGGGGTGATCTCAGATACTCCGGAAGGGTAAGCAGATCCTGCTCCACATGTGGAACCCGTCGTGTTGCTAATGTTAGTACAAACCCGGTAAATAGTCTAATTCGGTAGGTCACATTCGTGAAAAGGGAACGGGATTGTAGTTTCGACATTAGGAACATATCCGCTATCATCTGTGAAACAGATATTCCATAACGGTCAACCAACTCGTGATGGCGTCCGTAAAATTTACGAAGGGATCATTTCAACTTCACTATTTGGAACTCTTGGTTTAATAGCTTCCTTGTGAGCAGGAACCCTCTGTCAAGGAAATCATGATAGGAAATACTAGCCCGGGAATATCGTATCAATAGGGAGAGATATACACCGTATGCAGGCGCTGTGGGAATCTTGCTACATAGAAATGGAAAGTTCCCAATTGGGAAGCTGAAATCATCTCTTTTGTCGTAAAGTTTTGTTTTCAACCGACCCTCATTTTCAATTTCTAGATGTAAGTCAAGATATAAGGCAGACTTAACTGTATCTGTTGTATCCTTTATCTCTGATTCGATATGATAGATGCGTTCAACATAGTCACCAAATTTTGAATTATCTAGTTAGAGAACATCATCTATATAGCGGAAAATAAAGATAAAGGATACTGCTAGCTTTTTTTCTTTCTTCCTAAGAAGTTCCTGTATGAAGTCAGCCTCAAGAATGTATCAACGCCACAAAAAGTGACGTATTTTTGTGACGTTTATATTATCACAGGTAAATTTCTAAATATAGAATAGATTTGTTTTATTAAAGACACGTAGAAAAATATAAAATTAGGATTGAGTTTGTAATGGTGTTATTGTTTGTATTTTCTAACCATGTCGGTTTTTCTTATAAATCAAAACTGTGTATAGACAAAAAATTCCTGTGCATATAGTAGCTTTAAACTTAAAATCATATATATGAAATTGCTGATTTATTATCTTAACTCGACATACATGTAGAAAATGAAAATGAAATAACTCTAATATAAGACAAGATGATGTAAGACCAAACAGTAAACACACTTGAAAACAAACAACATCAAGCAAAAAAACTGTAGACGAACCACGAGTAACTCGACTATACTGACAATTAAGACATATGTTAAATGTACTGAAAATACAGAATTATACCACAAACGATACGACATAACACAATATCGAACCAGACTTATAACGCATATGTTACTACCAGTCCAATTTGAACATGAATTTAGTGATATAGTTTTTCGACAAAAGCTTTAAGTGTTTTCTATGCTAGAAATAGATAATAGAAGGAAATTAAGTAAAGCAGAAGTCAATATAACAAGTTTGGTGCTGTTGTAAAAAGATTGTTTTTTAATTTGATTTAAACTTACCTCATTTAGACATACAACATCCGCATTTTCAGCCAGTAAAGCAGCAGGGAGTTGGACAAGTCTGCCAGCTTTATTCTCAAATTTAGATATCAACTTTGCACTGAATGCCAGAAACGATTTAACTCTATCACCGCCATCACTTACTGTTGGTTTATTGTACTGTGGACAATAATTAATTACACATGACACCAAATAAATCGAACACACCAAGACAAAAAGTATGATTTGCATTTTTTAACAACGTCCTGAAAAACATAACATTGAATAAATTTATATTTCGCACAGTGAAGTAAACATTTTACATTGAAGAAAACAAATCTTGGCTCATGAATGAGATATTTTCTAGCAAGTGTATTGATAAACATCACATTACTATTTTTTTTCTTTTTTGTAAAAGAAAAGAAGACAACTCTTACATTGTCTTTTTTTGAGACATTAGTTACAATTTATAACAAATTGATATACTAATTTTGACTCTTTATTTTAAAAAAGGTCGTATTCATTATATTCTGAAACGCTGACTTATTACTCACAGTTCCTACATGACTGCGTTGACTTCTCCCCTCTACCTACAATTCCTTCTAATAACACCATAATATACATGAAAGTTTTTGAGTTTTTGATAATATATAAACTTTGACAATATTGAAAACAAATGATATTAAATTCCATTTAAAATGAGAAAACTAATGCAATAACATGGATAATGCAATTACCTATAATTTGAGAAACTTTCAAGATGATGAGGCTCGTTTGAATTTCTCAAAGATTCCATTGTGTTATATAGTCGAACGGAATCGATAGAAAAAATTCACCCAGCCGAATGCTGCCTCGACATCACCTTGGTTTTCAGTAAACAAGTTTAAAATAAAACAATTAAAACGTTTACAGCATTGATTTTGTTAATGTTAATGAGTAACATATGGTCTTCAAGGGCAAAAAATTATGTTTGGATTCGATGTACCCCAAGTGCTAAATGTAAGTTGCGCTTATTCGTCTTAGTCAGAGAATTAAGGTATCAAACAGTCGACTTTATTATAAGGTGTAAGCAAAACTTAATGTTGTAATCACCTGGAGATTTAAATATTTCTGTTATGGTTCCTTGATTTTTCTTGGTCGTTTATAACATTCAAGAGACCGTAGTTTTATATTAAAAAATGCAGAGATGTGTTTGATTGCTAATGAACCAACTATTCCCCAGAGACCAAATGACGATGATTAAATAACTGATGGTCACCGTACGGCCATCAAAAATGAACAACACATATATAGCTATAAAAGGCATCACAATGACAAAATGTCAAACAATTCAAAAGTGAAAACCAATTGCCAGATTAATGCTTAAAACAATGAACAAATATGGCAGACAGCAATTGATTTGCAGGTTCTTTAAAATGTATCTAAGAAAACAAACAAAATCAACACCGTGCTATTCGATTAGATTTCACATTTGCAATCATACCACATCGCCTTATTTTAATACAGTCACAGTGTTTTAATTGAGGTTTGTGGTTGCTTTATCACTGTTTGGTCTTAATTGCAACATTAATTTTCATAATTCTAATTAAAATCTTTACACAAGACTGTCGGTTAGTGTTTTGTTTAATTCTGAATATGAAAACAAATATAATTATGTTGTCTGAAAAGTGGGATAAAGAGAGGTTAAACAAAAATATGTAGCTCCATTTATTTTTCTATGTATATGCTTTTTGTTGAATCAAATGAATTTTCACACTTCTGATATTTTTCCTTCTTCAATATTTTGATTTATATCTTTAAGTTTGAGTTTGTCATGCATATCCTTGAACAACTTTTGCAAGGTGATTCACCCTCCGGTTAAATTCTAAATGTGTATCAATTAATGTATTTCAAGGTTATGAATGCAACATGTATTAACATAGCTGAATGTCACAGCAGTGATCAGCTTGTTTTACAAATCACTCTCATATGTTTTCATATATATTTACATTTTGATGGATAATGTTTATAGCTTACTAGTATTATCTTTCCCAAAACAATTTCTCGAGCATATATCCTTCAGTCAATCTGTCCGAGGGTGCGAAAGAAACAAATAGTATTTGGATATAAACTTAAATGTCTCCTTGATATAGATTAATGCAACTCAATTATAGACGGGGAATTTTGGGAAGATAAATATAAAAAAGGCGATGTGGAATTATTGCAAATGAGGCAACTATCCAGCAAAGTTCTAATGAAGTTGATGTAAGAAAAGCATCTAGATTTTATGGTCACTAGGTCAAAAAGATTATTTTTTTTGAAAACTTGTTTCCGGATGACAACTTTTTTTTTGGATTTAAACAAAACTCATGTGATTAAAGATTTAGAGAAGAATGAGCCTTTCTGATTTCAAGGTCAAAGGTCAAAGTCACAGATCTTAAAACTAGACGACTGCAATTTCTTCTTTCTTTGTGATAACTCGAGGTTTGCATGGTGGATTTTAATAACACTTACATGAGAGGTACTGGTAGAAAAGGGACACAGCCTGTTGATTTGAAGTCACTCAGTAAAAATGTGTCATTACAAAACAAATGTACATAAAGACAAAAGTTCAAGTATACAGAGCAAAGGTTTTCGCATGTTGGAAAATCAAACAGAGTGCTTTCAGAGATAAGAAGATGAGGTATGTTTGTCAATGAGACAACTGAACACCAGAGACCAAATCAAATGACGTATGACCTTCACCAAGGAGCAAATTTTATATAGCTTAGCAAACTATAAAAGGGTCCGACTTGACAAATCAACTTCATTATTTAAACATAGCTTTGTAGTTGAAATTATGCCTTCGTAAAGGAGAGGCTCCGGAAGAGTGTGCAGATCTTGCCCCTGCTTTGTTAATTTTACGGACGCCATCACTAGTTGGTTGACCGTTATGGAGTATCAGTTTCACAAATGACAACGGATATGTTCAAATTGTCGTAACTACTATCCCGTCTTCTTTTGCCCGAATGTGACCTACCAAATATGACTTATCACCGGATTTGTACTCGAATGAGCAAAACGATGGGTGCCACATGTAGAGCAGGATCTGTTTACCCTTCCGGAGCACCTGAAATAACCCCCAGTTTTAAAATTGCTCAGTCTTTTGTTTTCTATGTTGTGTTTTGAGTACTGTTGTGCGTCTATAAAAAAAGAAGATGTGGTCTGTTTTTCTTTTTCTTTTTTAGCCATGGCGTTGTAAGTTTATTTTTGACTTATGATTTTGAATGTCCCTTTGGTATTCTTCGCCTCTTTTTTGTTTTATTCCTGTATCTTACATATCATACATATGATTGTTTTGAATTTTCATTTTTACTGATGGTGGTAATGTTGTTTGAAGGCCTGTCCGGACATAAACCATAATTCTCCAAAAGGTAAAAAAAAAAAGACATTAACGAATCATGGTGATATAAAATCTGTTTTTTTTTTCTATTTTCAATATAGGTGGTGGCTAACAATTAATGAGGTTGAAAATCGGTACTGTTCTTTTTTATTTCGTTTTTTTTTTTTAGTTTAGCCAAAATATGTTTTATCCATAACTAAAACAATAACTATATCCCGAAGCTTGAAAAAGCCAGATTGGCGTCTCACATAAGTTTCTAATCTTACATTTTTATTTTCTTCCTACTAATTTTATTATTAAGTTAATTGATAACATTAATTTATTTGTTTTGACTCAATTTTTTTTTTATCAAAATGTATATCGTATTATGTGGATGAAATAAGTATATTTGCGACATGGACCTGTATATCTATTAGCAATTAAAGGACATTCAAACATGAAAATCAGATGACTTCAGTTTCCATCTCAATGAGCTCGAGATTGTCTGAAAAAATGCTCTTATTCGTTTTTAAAGAATCATGCAAGGAAATATGTGTGAGATTACAATTAAACACGCGCGCAATTTTCATCTTATTCGTCGAGTTTGGGTCGATCAGATATATGCGGTCACTGTAATGCAATAAAGGTAGTACTGAAAAAAATAAAAACGCCTCAAAAATCATACAGCTGTGATAGCTGATATATAAACCTGTATGAATATGGGAATAACAAACCAAATGTCTAAAAAGTGACATTTAAATATTAGATGGCATTAAATCTAGCCATTTAAGTTGAAAAAAAAAACATTTTTCTTTGACGTTCTCTGTTTTATTTATAAAATGATGTAGTTCAACAAAAACATTTGACCTACCTAACTATCCTCCTTTGAAAAGTAGGATAAGAAAAAGTTAAACAAACATATGTAGCCCCTTTGAGTTTTTCCTTTGATTTTGTTTTATTGAGCCAAATAAATATCCACACTTTCAATTTCTTTACCTGCTCAATATGCTGATTAAGTTCTTATATTCTTATAGATAGAGATTGTGATGTATATTACAAGGTAATTAACCCTCCTGTTATGTTTTAAGTGTGTATCAATTAATTAATTTTAAGATTATGACATGTTATAAAAATAGCTGTAACATTCTGAATGTCACAGCAGTGATCAAGTTGTTTACAAATCAGTCTCGTGTTCTTTCAATTTTGATAGATAATATTGGTATCTTATTTTGCTCCCAAAAACAATTTCGAGAGCATATAATGTCTATCAGTCCGTCTTTGGGTACAAAGCAAATAGATTCTGTATTAAAACTTTAGTATCTTTTGAGAGTTTGTAATGAAACACTTTTTATAGAAAAAACATTAGGAATATAAAAAAAAAACTGTTGATTTTGAGGTCACTAGGTCAAAGGTCGTAGTCACAACAACAAAAAAAAAGGAATTTTAGGAAAACTTGTTTCCGGATTATAAATTGAATTGAAATGAAACTCATGTTCTGAAAGGCAAGGCGAATTCGAAGGAAAAGAGCCTTTATAATTTCTAGGTTTTTCTGGGTTATAACTTGAAGTTAGCATACTGGATTTTATTAACATTTACACGATTGCTAGACGGAAGGGAATAGAAACATTATTTTAATTCTGAATTGAATTAGTCCAAATTTGTCATTTGACAACAAAATTTACACAAACAAATATTTCAAGTAAAAATGAGCAGACATTCGAAACTTGTAAGCATGTTGGAGTGTTTACAGTATATACAATATTAATAAGAAATTGTCGTATAATTTTCAATGAGACAAATGACCATTAGAGACATAATGATGTAGAAGTTAGCAACAATAAGTCACTGTATGGCCTTCAACAATGGGTGAATTCCATACCGCATAGTAAGCTTTAAAATACCCCGACATGGCAAATGTAAAAT